CACTGTTAGTTCCAAAGATAAATAACTTGGCCCCTTCCATAATTTCATCATAATTCCGCCCTTGCATGTGGTTATGAGTTCGAGTAGTAGTGTTTACAGAGTGTGTTATCAATAATTAAGAAATATTTTGAATAAATACTATATTATAATCCTCTTAGGCTATTCAAATAAATAAATAAATAAACAGAAGATCATAATATTGAATTGTTACAAAATATAAAACATTGTTTTTTAAAGGATGGATTATGTATTTAATCACTCACATATTTTAATGATTCTTTTTTAGTCATCTAACTATTCTTTTAATTAAAATTATATCTAATATTATGTTTCGGTTCATTTTGATCATACTTAACCAAAAGAATTAACAATAACATTAGATATAATTTTTAAAAAATATATAGTTAAATGACCAAAACGAAACCACTTGAATAAGTTGATGACTAAAAATATAGTTAAAGAATAGCATTGCGATAGTCGAAGTTCGCGTTACGAATCTGGAAACTGATTTGCGATACCGGAGATCGCGTTGCGAATTATCGATCGCATTGCGATTTAGTTAGTCAGTTTGACAAATCTAAAAAAAATTAGTTAAAATCATATATTATAAGACATTTTTTTATCAATAAGGTTATTTTCTCATAAAGAAAAATACAAATAGGCTATTAGGGAGGAGTTGTCGTATATGAAGGTGGCTAAGCATGTGCCACGCACACCCCAATACCAAACTTTTTTTTATCGCCGTGTCGTGTTGTCATTGGCTATTCTCTTTCTTCGCTTCTTTTATTACCATTTATTATTATTTATTTACACCTACTTTCCTTATTTTTGTCTAATTTAAAAAACACACACACAAAGCACGTATTTGTTTACTCTTTGCTAAATTCCATCTTAAAATATCTACAGTTAATTAATCCATATTCTAATGTCGAATAAATAAATGCTAAAATTTAATTAATTATATGTTGGTGTATGGACCGACCGAAGACAAAGAAACAAACATGGCTATATAATTTAGACCCGTGTGGCAATTGTTAATACACAACAATTTTAGGTTATAAATAAATAATACATATTTTAGACAAATGGTTATAAAATTTAGGCAGATATTTATTTGCAGGGATTATATGCAGAGATTTTTAGGTAGGAATTTATTTACAGAGATTACTTCCCATTACAGACGCACACATGAATGACTGCATATGAAGACTGTTCAACTATGTATTCATTTATTTATTTATATATGCATTGTATTTTATCTTTATTTTTAATTTTCTGACTGTCGGAAGTCTTCCACAGAAGCTATTCTTAACCTGGTGTTGGGGGCAGCCTACTAACTTTCATCTCCCTTATCCCATTGCATATGAAAATAGGGTTTTGTTTTTGTTTTTGTTGTTGTTGTTGTTGTTATATAATTTAAAATACTTGTTTGTTTGGATTTTTAATTTTTTGTATTACTATGTCTTATTATTACCAGATAATTTGTACACTTTGATAATTTCAGAAAGGATTTATTAATATGATTTAATTAACTATTTTATACAATATTTTTCATTTAATAGATTTTAAAAATATGATTGTAGCATGGAACCTAATAATAATAATAATAAAAGCGGCCCATAGAAATTCCAAGGTTGATGAAATTATTAGGAAGGTAAGAACAAACAACAATCATGTGTAATGAGCACCTACCAAAAACATATTAATAATTTATTCCAAATAAAATTGTCCTTTTATCGTCTTCTCGTTGGAAACTTGTGGTAATATCATGAGAAAGGCACGTCAGCGACTTCCAATTGTCTCACAGGTCGCATGCCGTTTTCTTCGATGCTTCAAATTCCATTTAATTAACATGAAATTTTGATTATTTCAAACTAAAGACAAAAACTTTGTACGATGAATTTGATCATCTTTGAAAAGCCATCAACTTAAGCCTAACTCTCTCTTTTTCTAACCGTGTACATTGTATGCGTTTGGTCTTGGGGAGTGATCAGGTTATTCTCCTTTTTCCGGATAAAAACAAAACAAAGACTAGTAAAAATTAAAAGTTTAGGTATCAAAACGTACCAAAAGTAAAACTTTAGGTACAAAATGTGTAATTTACCCTAAACAATTTAGGTTTAGATTTTTAATTAATTTATAATTACACGTTGGGTGTTCGTAGAACGTGAGAGAATAATCCTATAAACTCATTATGAAACTTAATTCAATTGTCTTAATATAAAAGATTTTTGAGATTCGTTGTTGATGTATCTCGATTCTCCTGAAAGTCTTGTGGATTTATTGGAATAGTTAATACTATATAAATCAATATTATTTATAGTTAAAATTTTATTTCTCAACTTTATTTATGGGAGAAAGTCTTGATAATTTTTTTATAATATTATCGTTTTCAAACTATTATTATTATTTTTAACGTAAGATCAATGATTCTAACTCTCTAGACATGATATTTTCTTCCGTTCAATTTTATCGTAATTATTCATTCTGACTATCTTATCTGTTAAGACGTGAAATTAAGTAATCAAAAGATATAATAATCACAAAATTATTATCCTCTTTTTAAAATTTGTGATACGTTTACTTAAGATTTCTTAATAAAATCATCATTCTTTTCGTTAAAAATTAAATCAGGAAAAGAGGACGACAAATTTTGGGGGTAATAACGGTTCAAAGTGTCCAAAATTTGGGAAAAAGAAAGGGAGGGGGGTAAGATAGGTGTATGTAGAAACATGAAATCATAAATACGAGAGATGCGACTCTGGACTAGACATACTAAAATTTACATACTGAAATGATGAACTTGACATACTAAAATGAACTTGACATACTAAAAACCTATCACAGAAAAAGAATGGAAGGAAGGATAATGAAGACTCCGTAAGAGTTGATCTTGTTTAATATTGACAGTAAAATCTACAATGAACAAAAGTGAACCTAGACTAGACAACTTGGGATGAACCGGATGGTCAAAACAAGATGTGCGTGGCGCTTGCGGCGGACAAGACAGCAGCAGTTCCCTTGCATCTCGGGTGGTTTAGCTTTTTTTAATCAATAAAGATGACGTATGAACATGAAAAAACAGAATTTTTTTTTGGAAGTTTTTTTTATTATTAAAAATGACCAAATACAATAATATATAGGCTTACAAACATTGCTACATGAGCAGAGCATTTGAAACCAAACATTAATGGCAGGCAGCTCAGCGAGTCAAACCGAAAACAATGGCAAACATTTTCTTAACAAGCTGCATATAACCATAATTTAGCTCACCTGCCTAATATTTAGGGTTCATCAAAACTGCAACTTGTTGCTGGATAATTGTCGGGTAAGGATAATTTCTTCAAAATAAATTTCACTTACAAGTGACACCCACTAAACGGTCACCTATTAGATTATGATAAAAGGTTTCGTTCAACCTAAACGATAAAGGGGAGAAGTGGCGGTGAATTGTTTCATTGCATTACCAAGAGGTTCAATCACAGGATAGAACCAGCACGAGTAATAAAAAATGATGAAAGAAAGGGGTTGAGTGCTCACAACACTTCAAGCTTCTAATGGCTTTACATCACTCGTACTCAAATATGAATAAAACGAATGCGATTTGTTTGCTTTATCTATCTGTACGAAGTCTTACATAACAAACGAGAAGAATAGTCAAGAATTACTTACAGATGAAACAAGAAGAAGAATGCGGCTGCATGCACCAAGCACCCGCAGGAACATTGGCACTGTGGTATGACAAAGATGAGAGACCACATGAAAAGAACAAAAAAAAAAAAAATTATCGAGACAGCGCACGACAAGAAAATGGCCGATGGCGTTTTTAATATATACATTTACCAGCGGAATTGTCTACCCTCTAGATTTTGTTCTTTATATTAACCTGATCGTCAACCACCAGCAATATTACCCAAAAAAAGAGCTCCATCTACACAATGCCCCTTAAAGAAAGATCATCTTAATGCGGTCATTAAAAAATGAAAATAAGCAAGCATAAAATCAAAGGAGATTCAAAAATCGAGTAAACAGTTCATCATGCATTTCCGAAACAGATATTGAATGAGGCTTGTCAAAGTTAGCGAGTTCCGAGAGCTCTATCCCAAGTACCTACAATTTTAATCAAAGTGATCACAATGACGGTTCTCATTAATTGATGATTCTCATAAAGGACATAGATGGCACGTTAATTTTTGCTAACGCTGCATGATCCCAGCTGAATGAAACTCAATAAACAAGCAACAACCGGTACCTGAGATGTAGGGTCCTGGTTACCCTGTGACAAACAGATATAAATCAAGAAAATGCTCAATTGAAATAGTGGACTGGATCATGAGAGATACTTCCGAATTTCTATGAGACAACTTTATCGTAACCATAATGTATCTGCAACATTTTCAACCAAGTTACTACATAAAGACAGGTACAATGGACATCATATTCCAAGTTAAGAGAAGAATCTTACCTATTTCAACTACAAGTAAAAAAATGTAGAGACTAAATTCAGACGAGGGGAAACAATTACATAAACGATAAATCATAGTTCCAAAAAACATCGGCATGGGACAGCCATGGAGAGATTATATGGCCAGATGACAGAAAGGAAATCACATATACAGACCAATAAGATAGACCTTTGAGCATAATGATGTTATAATACCTGAATGTCAAAGGTATGAGTGCACCTCTCCAAAAGGAATACGGATCATCACTTCAGGTACCTTGAATATCAAAACACCCACTACAACATCCATTCTTTTATAGGATAATAGGAATCTTTAAAAGCATCAACCAGAAAATGTTGCACCAAGGAACAAAAGAGAAGTGCTGAGGACAATGCACTTGTGAAAACACAGAGAAATTGAATAAACTCTAAGAATGTATCTTGCTGAGAAGAAAAAATCAGAATTGAAGAGACTAAGTCGTTGAAGGTGGAAACAAATACATTAAGGGAATGTTCTATCATGGTTGTCCCCACAACATTATACTAAGAACAGATGTTATCGAGGAAAAATCAATAAATTAATATTTAGTATCTAAATCGAATTCAATGATACACAGAATACAAATTGCATAGGCATGCAATGCACCATAAATTACAAGTGCCTGGGAATTTGATCCCATGAAACAACTAAATGGATAGAGTGAAACATGTGACCACAGATTATCCACATCCACCCAAAAGGCTGATACCGCAGCCAGTCAAATATGTCCAAATTCCATGTGACCAAATGTTACAAACATTTTCTGCTTCCTTCCAAGACTACCCTATCAATCAATAAGGTTCGTTTTGTTTGTTGTCTCTCTTAAGCTGAACCTTGAGTTTCTTACCACCTAATTGGCATCCATTCATCATGTTTATTGCATTTTGAGCAGCTGCTGGAGAGTCATAACTAACAAATCCTGCAAAGAGAGGCTTTTGAGAGAGAGAACTCCTTAACAACCATATCAGATTAAGAGGAGAAAGAAAACATATTTACCGAAACATTTACTAACTCTTGTTGCTTTGTCAACAAAAACCTTTGCACTTAAGACCCTACCAAATCCTCGAAAAGCATTAGCCAACTCTTGATCACCAAATTCTTGAGGTATGTGATAAATAAATAGATTTGCACCAGGTGGACCTAGGTCAGAGCATACACTAATTCATAACATGCCACCACCAGCAATATACTTTCAAAAGGCAACAAAAACCAAGAGGATCACTGATAGCAAACCTTCAATCTGGCCTCCTGAATTTGCACCAACAGGGGAAGATGATGAAGAATTACTGCTTGCATTTGCTTGTGGCACTGAACCAGGTGAACTAGTAAACGGATGATGGCCCATGATTTCCCCAGGATATGTCATGGGGTACTGAAGACCTGGCACAGCTGGGTAAGCTGAACCCACATAACTTGTAGGAGGTACAGCATAATTTCTAGGAGCAATATTGGATGCAAGATCAGGTGTAATTCCCCGCAATGAACTTCCTTGATTCACAGAAGGAATCATATTGTCGAACGCAGGTTGATTCTGCATTGGTGGCAAGCGGTACTGCATAAGTCCATAACTTCCTGGAGCCTAAATAAATAATGAGGTGATAAATAATATTTAGATATTAAATGCTTAGTTAAATCATCATGAAAAAAGTATTAGACAATCCCCATAGCTCAGTAACAGAATCACTGATTAGTCCCAGAGTTTCTTTCAGAATTTAAAATCCAGACCAAAAAAAAGGGGTAAAACTACCTGATAACCATATCCATTATATGGGGGAACATAACCCATTGGCAAGACTCCAAACAATGAAGGATGTGGTGAATCAGCATTTGGTATGTTCGAAGCTTGAGATTGAGCTTTCTGGATCCTCCGAGCTTGTCTTTCCTTTTCTGTATCTGCCCATTTGACAACGAGAGGGACACTTGAACCCTAAAACAGCAGAAGATTAAGAACAGAATATAGCACCCCACTTTTTATTAGAACTAACTCACTACCATACATGATAAAGAAAAGATGATATTTAAGGCAAATGACTATGAAATACTTAACTCAGATTTCGAAGCCAAAGATAAAGATATGCCTTTGATTAAAGACTGATTATCAGGTAAAAGAACAAAGTCTAGTGAATGCAATAAGTTTAAATTGTATATGTGCATTTTCCAAACCTCTAGAGTCTAGAGCCAAGAAGCAAATTTCAGACATAACCCAAGTGTAGCTTCGTGAAGATACAGTATTATGGGCTTCTAAAGAGAGCCCACTAGCATGACAATTTTGATTCTAGATGCAACATGCAATTATGTAAAACGGTGAGTTCTGTTTTGTGGCCTGCAATACATAATAGGGATGTCAAGTCACAAATAATACTTTGGTGCATGTGCAAACAATTCCAGGTTAGTATTGGAATCTTTAGTGACTTAAGCTCTTACAACTTACAAGCTAAGCATCATGAAATAAGTTAAATTTTGATACCATTCATTCCTATGAAAGAACGACTGTGTAAGATAGCTGATCGGTACATAACCTTTAAATACCGCATAAAGCAGGAAAAGATACTCGAACAACCTTGAGTGTAATCTGTTGATTCCAACAGCAGAAACGTGTAAAAAAATACTAACCTCCATTTTATGCTTCCCATTAATGGCCTCCAGGGCCTCCAAGGCTTGTTCTTTTGCCTCATACTTCAAAAACGCACAGCCTGCCATAAAGAAACCAGCACAACCACAATTCACACATATTGAATGTTTAGGTTTGATTGTCATTACAATCCAGTCGTCAATATGTTTTCTTAAGAGGAAAAAAAAGACCAAAAAAAATTCCAAGATCAAAGAATAAGTACCTTTACTTGTTTGTTCAGAACCTCTTAGAATCTGTAGATCCTTTATGGTTCCATATTTAGAAAATAAAGCTGAAACTTCATCTTCTGAGACGTTCTTTGGCAGCATGCCAACAAAGAGTTTGTGCTCTAAATCCATCAGGCAGTAAAAAGAAGATGACTATTCAGAATTTATTCAAGGATTTTATAGAAAGATCATTACCAAGTAATGAATGAGAACCAAATCTTCCAACCTCATAGCAAGCAGAACTATAAGTAATTAATGTACAAGAGTAATGCGTACCTAATCTTTCCAACTCACCATCTGCATACTTCACTTGCAATGGGCTAGATGCCTGAATCAGACAAAAGAACAGATAGATGAGTTCTAATCAGGGAGGTAATAAGATTGACAGGGTAAAAGGAATTCCTTGCACAAGTGCGATAGCAGACATGGGATATGGCCATAAAGGAATTTATTGTTTGCTTTATTATTTTAAATTCCTACAAATTAATGGTTGGAATCATCAAACCGCCCAGTCTCTCATCCAAATAATGTTCTAGTAAAATGATACCTAATGTAGAGAGCCCTAGCCTTGACTGTTTACATACTAGTAAATTTTTTCAAAACATCAATTCATCAGAAAACAACCACGTGTTTAAAAAAATAAGCTTACAGCATGCAGGCTTTGATGCCGTGATCTTCTAGTTTTCCGTTGTCTCTAAAACTCAAGACATCGATTTACTTCAAGGGAGCAAGTAAAATAATTATAAAATTTATTCTACAATTTCGTTATCTTCATGTACCCTAATCAGAACAATGAAGCGGTACAGAACTTCTACCAAGTTTGTTACAATGCCGAGTAACACATTTTCAAGGTACGTAGTTTGGAAACTTACGAAATAATTTCACACGATGACAGCTTTCAGTATCGAAAACATAATATAGCAAGATTCATGCCACTACCACAATGCAGTAAAAATTTTGAATGCCTCAGATCAATAGGGAAAAGGAGTGGACAGATGTGGAAGTTAACTGCTACTTTTAAAGGTCAGCTGCTGAATAAGCTAGACGTGAGAAGTTAATTATGAATTTAGAGAACGATGAGATCTATAGAGCAAACGGCGGAGAGTATCAGGTAGATTTTGACTACAATGTGGAAATAAATCAATAAGAAGAAAGGAAAAACAAAGGAACAAAAATTCAAAATTGAACTAACCCCTGGTAAAGTCTTCTTATTATGGCAGGCATTGACCGCCTTATCAGCCTCTTCTCTTGAAGGACATATAACAAAGCAACACCCTTAATAAACATAAAAGACACGAGAAGATACTTCAAAATTAGACTTCCAAACGCCATAAACCTCTCTAAAACAATGCAAATCTAGCTCGAAACTAAACGAAACAAACTAATCACTAAAAAAGACACGCTAAAGAAGAACGAATAATGTGAGATATTTGAAACTTCAAAAAAGAAGAATAATAAGTTCAAAACAACACAAACAGAAAGTTGAACCTCTAGAGACGCGAGTAGCCTTGTCTTTGATGATGTTGACTTCGTCAACCAAAGCAAACTCTTCGAACATTGCGAGGACTTGAGCTTCCGTCATGTGCTTCGGAACTTGACCGACGAACAGCTTCACGTTCTCTTCGTTCGTAGCTTTCTTCTCCTCTTTTCCTTCCGCCATTAATGCCTGCTCTTCTTCCTCTATTTTTTCTTTGACTTTCTTTCTCTAGCTGAGAGAGTGTTTATTCGCGTTTTTTTTCTTTTTTTTTGGAGTCGTCGGAGTGGGAAAAAATTGGCGGCGGGGGGTGGTTTCCTGGATGGCAGAGTTGGATCTCCAATGGGATTTATCTTATTGCAATTAATTTTGCTGCAAAGTGGGGCTACCGTTTTCGTCTATTTACGATAATACCCCTTACAGCTGTGCAAGTTCTAAGCTTTGAGATGGATGTAGTACTAGTTGTACAGTTGGGAGATGGAACGAGGATCGGTAATTTAAAAGGAGCGCGACGTTGAATGACTATTTACCCTTTTCATTTTATTTGTCTCATTTGGTCATTTTCATTTTATTATTTTTATTTAGATAAAATACATAAATAATTTCCTAATAATAATATATTATTTTATTGAGTTATTTGTTTATTAAAAATTATAAAAAAATTATTCAATTATATATTGTTTTTTTTAGTTTTTCAATTATTTATCCGACTAATTATATGTTCTATACTCGTCATTTTCAACTAAAATTTTGACGGTAGTCTGAGTTGAACGTTAATATGTTGATTGTGATATGATAAAATATGATCCAAAAATATCAAATGACTATCATATCCTAGTCAGTATGCTAACGTCCAACTCAAACGGACAAATGGTCATAACTTTTTAACGGAAAAGAATGAGTTTAAAACATATGAATAGTCAGATGATCATTTTATAAATTTTAATAGCTAAGGGACTCAACAACAAAGCAACACACATAATTGGAGGATCATTTTATAAATTTTAATAGTTGTGGACTCAATAAAACAACATCCTATAATAGAGAGACCATTTGTAAACTTTATTTTTTATTTTAAAAGTATTTATTATTTAAACAAATAATGTGAAAAAATAAATTAAAAGTAATAAGAAGAATCAAACAACTGTTAACTTGAATGAAACAAAAACAAATTGAAATATAATAAATGCATATCACCAAATATGTGCGTTTAGTGTTAAAGATACATATCAACACTTAACACAAATAAAATAGGATAAAAGTTAATTTATCTCATACTCATCTTTAATTTAAAATATATATTCTTTTAAAGCTTTATACAACAAGCATCAATCATTTTTTCTTTCTTTCAAAATATAATTCTTTTTAGATCAAAATTTTAAATTATTCTACTCTGACTTTAGTAACCAATTTATGAATAAAAGCCGCATTTTAAAATAGTTAGAAAGGCAAAAGGAAATAATAAATAAATAAATTTAAAAGACAAATATAAAAAGGAGGCAAATAGGGAGTGAAATGGTTTGACCAAACCCAATCGTGTGCGCAATGTCTATTTTTTTGGGGAAAAAGAGTACGGATACCGTTATAAGTGTTTGGGGTAGATCTGCAAAACCGAAGGCAAGGAAGTAAAAATAGCAAAGGAGAGGGGCATAATGGTAGATTAGCATGAAATACGAAGTGCAAAAGATAACTACGCCAGACTGTCCCCTCGCCAACGTTAAGCGCCCCCCTCATCTTTCCAAAGGATACAAACAGTCAAAAACACTGCTATTTCCTGAATTTGTTTTGGGTAAAATACATCAAATATCAGTGTATTATGCTTAACGTTCGTTTTAATAATTGAACTTTTACAAATTATAAAACGGTCACAAATTTATCAAACTATTATAAAACAATTACTGTGATGTAATAATAAATGTTGGAAGTTTAATAAATTTAATTATTATTGTATACTATTTTATTAATTATTTTATGATTTTTAAAGCTTAACTCAAAATAATTATTTAAATATAATTAAATAAATCTGAAAATACTTTATACCTTTATTTTTCCCGCTCGCAGCTTTGCTTGTATTTTCCAAAACCACCGCCCAGTAAAATATTTATTTTACCAAAGCCGTAAAATTTGGACAAAAGGTTAAATTCTATTAGGAGAAAGAATCCAAAATCATTGGTAAACTGATTACGTAAGCATAAATGAATTATTGTTTTTTTTAAAAAATTTAAGTTCGAGCACCATAGATACCAGATGTGTGAACGTTCAATGTTGAGAGAGTGAGAATTATCATTGAATATATATTACCTTATATTTACCCTATATTAATAAAAAATGATTTATTTAAATATTAACATCTTCTGAAACCTACGTATTTTTATATTTTATAAAAAATTAAATAACAAAATATAATATTACAAGTTATTGAAAATAGAATTCTAAAGCAATTTACACACATACAGAGATCCAAATACAATTTGGACAGAAATTAATAGGTCAAATCAAGGTTTAAATTGATACATGGTAGATGGATAGGTCAATAACAAATAAATGAACATGTGACTATTGAGTATTGATTACATAGATTAGTTTCAACTTTATTATTGAAATATACTGATTTTATAAATTATATATAACACATTTTATTATTTATTTATAATAATGATAATTAATTTTATCACCTAAAGTAAAAACACATCCTATTAAAATACTGACGATTATTATTTTTTTTTTTTGTTAACTAAACGGATACACACGAACTGTAATACTAATATGATGTCATGACACACTCATATAATCAAATACAATCAAGTGATGACATGATAAAATATCATATTAACAAAAAAATATATAATATGAGACACCAAGCTTAATTTCATAGTTTTCTTGTCTCCACGTGATAATTATATCAATGTTATTTTATCGTGTTTAATGGGTTTTAATAACTTGAATTAAATTTTATTATGATAAAATAGTATATAATACCTTAAATTCAATTTGTTGTAGATAATAAATTTAAATATCACATTGAATCAGTAAAGAGTCCATCGAATATAAAACTATTAAAATTATTCATCAATATGCACATATTTAATATTTCATAACAAACTAAATAATCATATAAGACTGCAAAATATTTATGTAAAATTAAAGTTACATGAAAATATAATATAATTCATAATAACAATAGAGCTATAACCTAAAATATAAATTGAGTTCATATGAATAAATATCTACTAAAAAAGTCGAACATTGTAGTTTGAATGGATGATGTTGAGAATTCTTCAACGACAGTGTTCCTTTGACATAAACTCTGATCTACTGATGATTTTGTGAATGAAAATATTAGAACGTTGAGTTTAACAAACTAAAATGATACATTTATACTCTATTATACTTCAAATAGTTCATAAATATAAGTATGTAAGATAAGTTCAAACATAGAGATATAAGTCTAGACATGATGACATATTTTAAATATCATGAAATTTTTTTTGGAGGGTTGCTTTAAAAATATAAAAAAATAAAAATTATATTAATAGAGCTTATCATCGAATCCCACTGTTTAAATGTCACAAATAAACAAGGTTCATAAAATAATTTATCCTAACTCTTATTGAATTGCTATGGCGATGATTTGGGGCATGATTGGAAATTTATGATCAATCCTTTTATTTTAGAGAAGTTTCTTAAGAGTAAGCTAGCGTAATAGCTCAAAGGCAAAGTAAAAATCTCAAAAAGTCAAAGAAGAGTTAGTTTTACCTAATACACTATTAGAAAAAGTAGTTAAACCTGATAATAAAATAGAAAATATATCATGACAATAATCTTTAAATATTACTATAAAAATTAATGATAAAAAACGAGTTTATCATGTCATAAGATTATTAAATATATAACAATTAGAGATCATAATCACACCTGAAAAGATAAAACAAATAAGATTAAACATCTTAGAAAATAAAATAAAATAAATAGAAATAAAAATACTTTTTTTGATAAGTCACAGTCGAACAAAATTTCAATCACTCTTTTTGTGCTTGAGATCGTTGGTCACATGTCTCTTAAGATATAGTAGCTAAATGACCAACTACAGTAGTACAATTGTAGAGATCATGAATTATATTTGTCTTTATCTATTACTTAAAAACTAATGGAAGAGAAAAAGAATTTTCTTTCAATTTCTTAAATCCTGAATTGTGAAAATTTATAAAACCTGGGAATGTTTAATCTAGATGGTTAACACATATTTATAAGGGACTCTCAAAGGAAAAAAAAATTAAGGTAAAACAATCCTTTCGAAAATACAATACTATATTTTACTCGAATATAAATTTGTAATAATATATTCATATTTTAATTGAATATAAATTCATAAATAATATATTTGTATTTAATAAAATATAAATTTTTAAATAATATATTCCTATTTCAATAGAATATAAATGCAAAAATAACATATTTGAATTTTAATTGAATATAAATTCTTAAATAACAAAACATTATCATATTAATATTCTAATTTTAAAAAATTCACACAGTATTGTTTTAATTCAAAATATTCAAATCAATAGATCAAATTCAAAGAAAATTAAATTACCAAATTCATCAATAAATTCACACATTTTTTCAACATAAACTTTTTTATTTTTCAAATTAGTACCCGTCAATAATGCAACAATTCCCATTTTACGTACATTCATGCAATTTGCATTGGAAATTACGGCAAATTAAAGTCATAAAATATCATCGATATCATCCCTTATAAAGCAACCTTAATTTTATGTAAATTTTATTTTCTAAAATGATTTATTTTATAACTTCAAATTCATGATTAAAATATTTTTTATTTTGGGATAACATTTAAATAAAATATCCAGGATAGTTATTTTTCTAATAAAAATATGTAATTTATTTTTGAAATATAATTTAAAAATATAATCAACTTAATATTTTAAAATTTATCATTTACTTGTCCTATTCACTTTTTTAAAGTTGTACTGAAAATGAATTTGCTTCGAATATTGGGCCTTATTGGCACTGAGATAAGCTTTGGGGCAGTTCAATATCTTTACAAAAAGCTATTAAATCAAACTCATTTAATAATTAAAATTTATATTCATATAATTAATTGTAACTTGAGTTTGTTTTATACTTACCATTTAGTTTTATCCATTGTTAATTTGGTTTGAAGAAGTCATTTTATCATTCAAATTCATGAAACTGATAACTAGATTATCTCTGATTAGGTAGTTCAATTCCACTGGGCCTTTTCTGCTGATTTAATTAAAGGGAAAAGAGTAATTAATTTATGATTTAAGTAGCATAAATATAAATTATTATTGGATGGAAGACCTCAGTTGAAAGAAACTCTCCTATAAGTGTAGATTGCTTATAGCACATTACAGTTTCTTCAGTCATCCCAGTTCTCGTTCCATGGGGAGCATGGATTCTTCAGCTGTGGGTCACTGTCAGAGGTAAAGATTGGGTTTATATCCATATTCGAATATGTATTTGATCGACTAGTGCATCCCATTAGCCATTCATTTGTCATGAAATATCGCGTCTTGCCATTGGAACCGTGTTCTTAATGGTACTAAGAAGAATTACAATCTTAGGAACTGTTAATTTTGATAATTTCTTCACCAACTAGACATTATGCATGTGTCTGATGCAAATGTAGTAATTTTTCTCCAGGCCGAGCACGCATGATCCAGTCGCGATGAGGGAATGGGGTGATCTTCCTTCTGAACTTTTGCCATCCATTGCTGTTCGTTTAGGTCTAATCGAGCTTCTCAGTTTTCGTGGCGTCTGCAAGGACTGGAATTCCGCTTCTTCAACCGCTTCGGCCGAGATCGAAGCCTTACCGGATCGCGAACCTTGGTTCCTTCTCTACGGGGAGAATAACAATTCTCAATGAACGTTGGTTACTGGATCAGGCATACAGTATTCCATTACCATCCCGGAAATGGATGGAGCAACCTGCCTTGCATCAAGTCAAGGGTGGCTCCTTCTATTCCGCGAAGGCTCAATGTTCTTCTTCTGCCCTTTCTCTCGTGCCAAAATGGAGCTTCCGGTCCCATGCCAATTAGCCCACCTAGAATTCTCGGACGATGTAGCGATGTTTTCAGCTCCTCCGACTTCAAAAGATTGTGTCGTATGCATTGCTTGTAGAACCGAACAAAGAGAAGACTTAGAGCTGTACTTGATTCACCGTGGGTCCAATTCATGGACCAAGCACAAACTCGAGTCATTCCCCCACAAAATCGTATATGCCGCATACCACAACGGGGTCTTCTACTACTTCGACAACACATGTTTGATGGTTTGTTTCTCGATCGAGGATCGGAGAATAAGAACCGGTAAGGTAATTTCCGCAAAGTCAGCGAACGATAGATGTCTCCCATTCAGATTCAGTTCCAATCACGAGAAAAGGGACAGGAAGAAACGATTGGCATTGGTACTGGGAGAAGAGACTCTAGTTTCCACCTGTGGGACGAGAGTATCTTCTTGTCACCCTGCTTATAAGATGATCCCTTCTGAAAACACAGAGAAAGCTAAAGAACCTGGAACCCGCAAAGGGGTTTGGTTTCAACCTCGTTTCCATCATATTGACAAAAAGCAAAGCTGGTGATCACTTTGTTGTGGTTGAATTTGATTTTCAGCACTGCTCCGAGTTCAAATTTTAGATCATTATCTTTAGGCCTATTGTTTGATGAAGTATTTCATAAGATCAACAACGGTTTTGAGAGTTATTTAAAAGAATCCGTATTCTTCAATTTATTTTGAGAGTTATTTCAACGCTTTATAGCCTCCTTAGATTGAGAATTTTGAGGAAATGGTACTTGCCTACCAAGTGTTTGTGTTTTTGTTTGTGTGAGTTTGCCATGAAATCTCATTTAGCTAGTAGCCATCAGGCGTTTTAGATTTTTATTGGGATAATTTCGCTTATTAGTTACTGAAAATATCCATCTGCTGGTTGACTTCATAAATAAATCCATGGCTAGTTGAGAACGGATTGTATGAAAAAGTTTATAATTAAAATTAATTTAACAATTCATTATTAATAAAATTATAAAAAATCTGATTTTATTTATAAATTTAATTAACTGTTATGGTTTGTATGTAAGTAACAATGTAACATTGCAACATAACACGCAGTGTATCTGTTTCATATAATTTTTTGTGGATAAAATACACTAAAGGTTATTAAACTATAATTAAATAATTATTTTAATCATTAAAAGTTTTAAAAAATTAAAATTTCTATAAAAGGACCCGTACGAGATTATAATAAATTACAAAAATGTAATAAATTTAATATATATTTTATAATCGTTCAAAAATTAATTATAAATTTATAACTTTTAAAATTTTAATAATTAAAAAAATTACTTGAACATGATTTAGTGGCCTCTTATATAGTTTACTTTTTTTCTTCAACGTGTTTAAAAACATATTTGATTAAAATATTAAAAAAATCATTGTTAATATAATATTTTTTAATATTTAAATATGATAATCTTATTAATTTTTTATTTTAATATATTTTTAAAACGTATTGTATACAATAAATACGTAAATACTTTTATATTAAAACATATATATGAAATGCCTTTTAAAAACTTTTTGTTAAAATTAAAATATTATATTTAATAGATAAATTATAAAAAATAAAAGTATAAAATATTATAAGAATAAGTTTAATTTATAAAATAAATATTTTTAAAATTAAAAAAGATAACATAATTATATTTAATATCAAATAATTTTATAATAGAAAATTTAAAAAAAATTAGAGAAATCAGTCCTAAATTAAGCAACACCAAAAATATCCTTAAAAACAAACTGCAAAGTTATTTTCCTTATCCCAGCGACAGTGAAGGAGGCGCCAAAAATCAATAAGCTAATCTTCCGAAGTACCCATTGGATAAGGAAGAAGAAGAGTGAGGTTTAAAGAGAAAAAGTGTGAGCTTCTTATGTTATGGCAATAACAGTAGCTAACTGCTGCTTCTCAGCGCTCAGCTCCTCCTTTAAATCCCATTACTTCCATCTTCGTCTCGCTACTTTCACTTCCACTTCCCTTTCTTACCTGGACGCCCGCTCTCTTAAAGCCACCAACAATAAGAAACGAGCTTCCAGGAAAAGCTCCCCCGCATCTCTGCGTAAATCCAATGCCGAGGTAAGTAAAGCTTGCAGCAACGGAATTTGCTTTTCTCTTCTTTGAATTAATCATTTTGTATGCCATTGCAAAGTATGTTTTGGGAGGTTTTATTATAGAGCCATACGTATGTGATAATTTCAGTTTGAGGGAATAATTAGTGTTAGTAAGAGAGTGCTCTCACTGTATTGGCCTTTTAATGTATGTTCTGTAGATTTGAAGAAAATTTGTATTGCGAGTTTCGTTTTTGGCACCCGGTTCTCTGATCTACTAATGCAAATTGTATTTCATCTTAAGAAAGATTCGGTTTTTACAGAAGAAACTTCCGGGAAGATTGAAAGATGACAAGTCCAGTTTATATGCTGATGGAGATAGTGGAAAGGGGGACGCCGGCCTTCCTAAATCAACAGGGTTTAAATCATTTGGTACACAAAGAAAAGAGAAGAAAGAGTTTCAGCTTGATTCAAGGGAGCGACAGGTATACTTGCGAATTTGTAGTTTCAATGGAATTTGTTTTACTTCAGGGAGTGTTTGGTCGGCGTTCATCGACAATCTAAGTAGAAGAGTGTCTCGACGAGAGTTAAGGGAGTTGTTCTCAACTCAGGGTCCGGTAGTCAGAGTGTTCATTCCTAAAGAAACAAGAAATCCGAAATACAAATTCTCCACTTTCGCCTTTGTTCATTTTGGTAACGAGGAAAGTCTAAAATGGGCTATTAACAAGCTGAATGGTTCATTGATGGATGGTCGGAGAATTACTGTTGGTGTTGCACGATTTAAGGATGCTCGTATGAGGTCAGCAGGGCAGAATAGTTCATTGGAGATGACTTTAAAGCAGGTCTCAGTTGATACTTCAAGGTCAAAAGAGAAAGTTGATATTAGTAGGAGTTTTAGGGATGTAAGATCTTACAAGGATGCCTTACTGTCTAATAGATTGAAGAGTAATGTATCGGACCAAATGGATATGGCATATGAAGGTTTCAACAGAAGGAATGGCATAAAAAATATGTGGGAAATGCATATTCCTTCAGAGAGCACCAGTTGGGTGAAGAGGTCATTAATGGGGATTGTTAAACATTCTTTTGAGTTAGAATTAGTCCAGAAGTCTCTAGTTAATGAAGGTCTTGAAGTTCAGATTGCCAGATGGGGTTACGTTTGGAATTCATGTGTTGTAACCTTTAAGTCGGATGAGGAAATGTTGGATGCATGGTCGACGAAAAAGGATGAATTACTTTTCTGGTTCGATAGGTTGGCACCTTTATTGAATGATGATGGCATTCCAATGGCTTTTTGCCTCATAGAACTATCTGGAGTTCCACTATTATGCTGGCAAAACACCTTCTTGGAACGTTTAGCAGGGAGGTGGGGAATGGTGGAAGATATCCATGAAGAAACAAAAAACAGAGAAGACCTCTCCACGGAGAAGATTTTGATTAGGGTGACGAGCCCATATGATGTCCCTGAGGTGTTAACACTTGGAGCCTATGGAAGATCTTATACAGTGAAGATTAAGCGGGGTTCGGTGCTTGAGTATAATTTAGATTTTTCTAGCAAAGCGCCGGTGGGAGGTTCCGATGAAATTCAAATTGGTGAGAAGTTTGCTGGAGAGGAAGCTGACAGGAGTGTGTCAGAAAGTATGGAAAGTGCTGAACATTCAGAAGAACACAGCAGACAAAAGGTTGACTTATGGTTTGACAAAGGAGCTTTTGTGGGTTTGGTTGGAGCAGGTGGGGAAAATCATATCCCAATGCTTAACAAAGATGGGAAAAGCATTAATTGTGAGGTGTCAGACTGCCAGGACCTTGGGAGAAACAATTTAGGTGATTATGCCGGTTTGGGATGCAAAGTTTTTAATTTTTCGGCTGATGGGTCTGAAGCCCAGTCAGTTGAAAGTGGACAGCCTGGTTCTACAGACTTTAAAATAATTCCAGCTGGGTCAGTTATTAAATTGGATAGTTTTGGGAGAATGGACCAGAACCAATTTATTGTTCAATCTGTCAACATGGAGGAAGCAAATAATGGAGGTATACCTCATTCCAGTTTGATGTCGCGCAGTGGGGAAGGAGTGCTAACAGCAACAACTAAGATGATTGACTCTAATGTACATGCTAGAAAAATGTTTTCGAGGGGAAGATTGCTTCATCGATCTAATTCATCTTTAACTACTAGGAGTGAGCCGTTGGAAAGGAGAAGAACGGTTAGCTATAAAAGGGTGTATTCGAGATCAAGGGAGAGAAGACATTAGCCATTAACTGCAGAAGAGGAAGCCTTAGACAAGCTAAAGGGAGGTGATGATTCTGATTTCAATTCCACTGCATTGATTCGAAGAGCCAAAAGGTTGTTGATAAGGGAGGCATTAGATCAGGCAAGCATTTCAACAGTTTCTTCGCCAGCTTTTTCAGTTATATTGGAGGAAGCCTTAGCTACTTGGGAAGTCAGTAAGCTTTTGGGGGTGTCTTTCAAGGAAGAGAAGTCATCTTTTTTGGAAAAAAATTATTAAGTTGGAGGAAGATTTGAGGCTGGTTTGAGCTTCGATTTTCTTGGCAGGTCTGGTTCTTTATTTTTGTGATGATTAACCAATTAGCAATTATTTCATAGAATGTTCGGGGATTGGGAAGAAAGGTAAAACAAAGATCTGTTCAAAATATAGTTCTAAAGAAACACCCTATTTTTCTTTTGCTTCAAGAAACGAAAATGGAGAAGATTCAGAGGCAATTTTTTAGGAGGAGTGGCTTGAATACCCTTCAAGGGTTTTCAGAATCTCCAGCAGTGGGTTCTTCTGGAGGTTTATTGAGTTGTTGGGATGAGAGCATGTTTGAAGTGGAAAATCATGTTATAAACAGAAGGTTCATTGCTACGTTTGGGAAATTTCGAACTTCACAACTTAGGTGTGGTTTTATCAATGTTTATGGCCCTTCTGTCGAAGAAGAAAAAGCTTGCTTTTTTGAAGAGTTAGCTGGTTTTATTTGTGGTCAGAGTATTCCTCTTTGTGTGGGAGGTGATTTTAATGTGTATCTTTCAGAAGAGGAGAAGATTGGAAGAGCCCAAAACAGAAATTCAATTAGAATTTTCAGTCATTTTATCCAACAGACAGGGTTATTTGATTTACCTCTGCATGGGGGTAGGTTCACATGGTGTAGCAATCAGGATATACCCACCTTTTTTAGACTGGACAGGTTCCTTGTTGATGTCCGTTTCTTGGAAGCCTTTCCTGAGACTATACAGTATTTGTTACCTAAGGCTATATCAGATCACAATGCCATTTTTCTTGAGAATGGTGGAGTTAGTTGGGGCAAAAAACCATTCAGGTTATTTAGTTATTTGATGGATGAAGAAGGTTTTCAGAATTTAGTTGGCTCTTCTGTACAGAACTGTAAGAGTAAACACAACAGAGCTGGAATTTTTTCTATCTTGAAATCTACCAAATTGGCGATCAAGGAATGGGCAGGGAATAGAGATCAATACCCAGCTGTAGA